TTTCAAAAATTTTCATCAGTGGCGTATTCTAATTATCTATATAAGATCTATGCATGAAAAATGATCTACGGTCAGTACGAACACTCGGTATAGATTTAGATACGCTATTTAATAGAATATAATTCAGCATTTTTGTGTAATAACGCGCAGATGTGCTTTATGTTGAGCACCTGTGCATTATTTCGAGACGCCGGAACATAATGGATTCGGTACAACAAATTGACCCATAATATTTACATATATACATGATTGAGCAGGGCATTTATTGTATCAGAAACAATTATATTTAAAGAACTGAAGCATTATATGTTTTTATTCGAACATTTGGTTATTGCCTTTGATGGATTCTTAGCTGCGCATGTAAGAAATCACAACCCATAAAAATTAATTATAACCGTCATAATAAAAAGTAAAGCTTTTTGAAGTTTTATTATATATCAAACTCCTGAGTATAGATGCTGGTGAAATATGGAGAAATGTGGTGAAATTGGTGGTGAATTGGTGAAATTGGTGAAATTAATCATTTCAGAAACACGCCACAAATACACGTAAAATCTATATCATTCTAACTAACTACACGAGAAACTGCTTTATTGTTAATGTCCAAATTATTACTTAAACTAACATCACTTAATTGTCGAATAATAAAATTACTACTATAGATTGAACTCCTATCAGGTTCAGTATTAATTTTATTGTTTTCTAACACGATATCTTCATCAGATCTTGAAAAATCAGATAAAATTTTTTCGTTATTCTTCCAACCCTTAATAGTTTCATAAATATCTAAAGCAGATGGTCGCTTCCCAACACTTTTTCAATAGCTCAGCATAACATATTGCTGTACCTTTAAGGATGTTTGGCCTTAGCCCTTTAAAACAAATTTCTATATATAAATTTGAACTATCACCTTTATAATCTGAATATACAACATTTCCTGAAGAAACTCCCACATAATCATTCCAAAAGAATAAATATCTGATGTTTTCGTGAATAGTTTTTCTTGCAAAACCTCTGGTGCTATATACTGTAGAACTCCATAAATTCCCCTTGAATCTTTGAATGTTTTATTAATCGATGTTGCAAATCCTAAATCTCCGATATATGCATGGTATAAATCATTATGAAGAAGTATATTGTCACTGTGTAAATCGCAATGAATAATATTGTTCGAATGAATTAATTGAAGATCTAATACAATATAAGATAACAATTCTAATTTTTTCTCCCATTTCATTTGTGCAACTTTGCAAAGATTTTTACGTAAAGATCCCATTTCTATGTATTGCATAACTAAAAGATAATTACCGGTAAACTTATCCTTTGATATTCCGTAACATTGCAAAAACGTAGGACTTTTAGATCCAATAATAGAATACGCTGCTAACTTTATAAATTAAAATTTATTAGCAATAGAAAAAGAAGTAAATTTAATCTTTTAGTATTAAGCATTTACCTCTTTCAAAAATTCCTTTTTAAATTCTTTTGATTCGTGAAATGATTTAACTGCAACAGCTTGATATAAAGTGCCTTCATTGTTTGTGTGTTCCCATCTAGCAAGATGAACGGTTGCAAATCCACCTTTTCCTATTTTTCGTATAAACTTTAATTTACTAAATGAAATCCATGGTATTATCGTGTTATTTCCAAGTGATAATTCTTTTATAACATCTTCAACGTCACGGCCTTCAAAATTAATAATTCTTTGATAATTATCGCAATTTGCTTTTTGCGACCATTCTATTGCTTTCTCTTGATTAGGAATTGTTCCATATCCATTTCGATAGCATAAGCCAAGTACACGTTGTGAAACAGAAAAGCCGCCTTTAGCTGATTTTAAATACCATTCGAATGCTTTCTTTTCATCCTTATTTGTTCCTATACCTTCTGTGTAAAGAAGACCAAGATTATATTGTCCACCAGTATTACCACTTTCAGAAGATTTCGAATACCATTCAAATGCTTTATTTTCATTTCTAGTAATGTCATTACTACATTTATACAATGATCAAATATTACATTGTCCATTAGAATTATCACCTTCAGCAGATCTCAAAAACAATTCATATGCCTTTTTTTCATCTTTTTTTACACCTATACCGCGCATATAACATAATCCAAGATTACATTGTCCACCTGAATTACCACTCTCTGCAGACTTCGTATACCACTCAAATGACTTTTTTTCATCTTTAGCGGTGCCTATGCCATCTAAATAGTACTGCCCAAGGCATTTTTGTCCATCAGAATTACCACCTTTGGCAGATTTTGAATACCACCTAAATGACTTCTTTTCATTTTTAGTAACTCCTATACCGCTTGCAAAACACAATCCCAGGTTATATTGTGCATTAGTATTACCACATTTAGCTGATCTAGAAAACCACTTAAATGCCTTTTTTTCATCCTTAAATGTGCCTACGCCATTTCTATAGCAGAGCCCAAGATTAAATTGTCCATCAGAATTACCACCTTTGGCAGATTTCAAATACCAATTAAATGCAATTTTTTCATTTTTGGTTATGCCTATACCATATTGGTAGTACCATCCAAGTTTATTTTGTTCAGGAGGGCTGCCATCTTCAGCAGACTTCAGACACTTATCAAATACCTTCTTTTCATTTTTTATTTGTATTTACGCCTTCTGTAAGGAGAAGACTATAGTTGTTTTTAACTTTTAAATACAACTCGGATGCCACCTTTTCGTTTTTAACTACGCCTATACCAATTTTATAACGTGCTGCAGGATTAGTTGCGCAAAAACATTTCCACCCTCAGCCGATTCAAAGTAACAATCGGATGCTTTCTTTTCATTTTTGGTAGTGCCTATACCAAATTCTTAGCATGTTCCAAGTCTATATTGTCCTTCGGAATTACCGCCTTCAGCAGATTTTAAGTACCATTCAAATGCTTTCCTTTTGTCTTTAGTGGTTCCTACGCCATTTTTATAGCATAGTCCAAGTTTGATTTGTCCATCCAAATTGCCACATTCGGCAGCCTTATTTTCATTTTTGGCAGTGCCTATGCCAAATTCATAACATGCTTCAAGAACATGTTGTGCTTTAGAATTACCTCCTTCAGCAGATTTTAAATACCATTCAAATGCTTTCTTTTCATCTTTAGAAGTACCTATGCCATTAAGGTAGCACAATCCAAGATTTTTTTGTCCATCCGAATTTGCCACTTTCGGCAGATTTTAAACACCACTCAAATGCCTTTTTTTCATCTTTAGCAGTGCCTACGCCATGCAGGTAGCACCATCCAAGGTCTATTTGTCCACCAGAATTGCCACCTTCAGCAGATTTTTTTTAAATACCAATTAAATGCTTTCTTTTCATTTTTATTAGTTCCTATACCTTTTTCATAACATAACCCGAGACGATATTGTCCATAAGAATTATCACCTTCAGAAGATTTCAAATATTCTATAAATGCTTTATTTTCATCTTTAGAAGTGCCTATACCATTTTCATAATATAATCCAAGTTTATGCTGTGCATTGGAATTACCACCTTCAGCAGAATTCAAATACCGAATGACATTTTTCATCTTTATTTGTGCTTATGCCATTTTCATAATCATAATAGTATCCAAGATTGAATTGTCCATTAGAATTACTACTTTCAGCAGATTTCGAACACCATTCAAATGCTTTCTTTTCGTTTTAGTAGTGCCTATGCCATTTTCATAGCATAATCCAAGTTTAAATTGTCCATCCAAATTGCCATTTTCAGCAGATTTAAAATACCATTCAAATGCCTTCTTTTCATCTTTGGGGATTGCTGTGGAATATTAATAATATTTTCCAAGGATAAACTGCGCATCAGAATCACCACCTCCGGCGGATTTCAAAAACTACTCAAATGCTTTTATTTCATCTTTGGTCGTTTTTATACCAATTATATGAAAAGTCCCAAGGACAAATTGCGCATAACAATCGCCATTTTCGGCAGATTTTGAATATTTTTTCGAATATATCTTTCACTCATAACAGTATTCGCAAAAAAAAAAGAGTTAATATTTGTCAAACCATTAGATTGATTTATTCTATAATAATATTTGGATGACCTAAACCACATGATAATAGTTTTTCGGATTACTAATCTTAATAATATAATTATACAGTAGCTTTAGATTACACAGTAACACATGACCTACGCAACACTTTAAATAAATATTGGATATTTTCAACATTCAATTAATTTTCTAACGTTACATATTATGTCAATTAAAATGACTTATTAAATAATATTATATAAGATTGAAGTTGATTTAAAACAGAAACAATTCGAAAGGGCATGGTACATAGTTAAATTTTTGCTCAGATTGATTATTTAGTTCGATTGCTAGGCCTTCAACTTTATGGATCAAGACTTCTCTCTTTTTGCATTTATCTCTTATTGCAAAATTTGAAGCATAAACAAGATAAATAAAAGTTGAAAAATGAACAAGATAAGAAATAAAGATTATAATGAAATTGTACCAAACAGGAACAAATAAAATCCGATAATGAAAACAGACAGCAATTGTGTGAACTTTTCGAGGTCTTAAGGCCATATATATATTATCACTATGACCTTTTTCAACGATGGTACATAGCTTTCACTAAAATTTATGATAAGCTAATTAATAAGGGTTTTACTCCTTGAAATTTGCAATGGATAAGTATACATTATTGGCTGCTAATATTGGAAGAAAAAAGTTACATAAAAATGGATTCATGTAGTGTATTAAATTTATTCGAATGAGTTAATTACGAATTGTTACAATCAATAAAGATATTTAAGCAGTGTGGGAATTTAAAATATAGAAGTGGCGGCTTAATTTCAATAAGAATAGAATACTTTAAGTCTTTATATTTAATATTTTATTTTCAAATATAAAATGAAGGTTGAACTAGATTAATTAGCTTATTTAAATTATGATTACGAGCTATTTTATCCGTTTTGTAAATAAAGATACTATATAAGTCTAAATTCGGTATTGACATAGACATTAACTTATTCAGCATTAACAAATTCATATTGACAACGATTAAGCTTTCTTAATTTATCATCATTAGTCGGTTTCACATACCACCACCATCTAAAAGCTTTAACTCTATCATTAGCAGTTCCTACACCCTCAACAGATTTCATATACCGTTCAAAAGCTAGTTTTTTTAAGCTAAAATTTTTTTTTTCATTTGCAAAATTTCCGAATTCGTAACAATGACCAAGTTTATGTTCATCTGCAAAAGTTCCAATTCCGAATTCGTAACAATGACAAAGTTTATTTTGTCCCAAACTATAACCTATTTTAACGGATTTTACGTAACAATTAAATGCTTCAGTCAAATTTATTGACGTGCCTATTGCATATCGATAACAATTACTAAGATTATATTGTCCTACTCTGTTTTCACCATTAGCAGATATTAAATAGCATTCAAAAGCCTCCTTTTTGTCAACAGAAGTTCCTATACCGTATTGATAACAACTACCGAGATTACTATATGCTAAGTAATTTCCATTTTCAGCAGATTTCATAAACCATTTAAAAGCTTCATCATTATTTTTAGAAATTCCAGCATCACTTAAGTAACTATAACCAATTATATTTTGAGCTCTTGCATTTCCTTCTTTAGCTGCTTTTAAAGACCAATCAAACGATAAATATTTTTCTTCAATAACACCATAACCATAATAATAACAATCTGCAACATAACATCTTCCCAAAATAGAACCTATGGAAACTGATTGTAAAAATAACTGTAAGGCTTTTTGTTGATTTATAGAAACGCCTTGCCCGTGTAAATAAAGTAAACCTAGGGATATTAATCCTACAAGCCGATTTTCTTTTAATAAATTATAAGTAATATGAGCATTATCAATATTTTGTAAAGAATAGTTAAATGTGAAATTACATTCGTCAGCAGCTTGTTTATACATTTTAAACGCCTTATTGTAATCAACTACAGTTCCAATTCCATGTTCATGAAAAAATCCAATAATACTCGTAAAGCAAAATCTACATTGATGATTATTATACTGATAAAAAACTTTGGATTGAATCCGGTAATTATCACTAATAAATTTATTTATGTGATAAATTATCGAACTTGAAGTATATTTTGAAACACCTTGAATATTAAATTGGGATAGAAATATTTGGTTAAGATCATATAGAAATTTCTGTTCATTATCGATATCGCTTTGCTCGTTTATAGTAATCGCTGGTAATATATTATTTTGATTTTTAGCTATGTTATTTTGATCTTCAAATAAGATATTTTCGTTTGAAGCTTTATTGAGAAGTGTAACAATTGAAGAGATTAATTTTAACTCATTTCTTACTTCACTGTGACTAAAATAATACCGCGATAATCCTGTTATATTTGAACTTTCTACTCTTGATGCAGAATTTTCATGTTTAATTTTCTTATTTGAACTTTCTACTCCTGATGCAGAATTTTCATGTCTAATTCTCTTATTTGACTCTAAATTTATTTCTTTATCAAAGTTTAATTTGTCATAATCATTAATGTTATTTAAACACTTAAAAACACGTTGAATGGTTGGACGATTATCTGAATGATGTTGCCAACATTCTAAAAAAGCAAATATATAATTTATATATTAAATATTAAATTTTAGTATAACTGATAAGGTAATTATAAAAATCCTAAATCACCTGTATAGATTTTAATATATTTTTTAGGCGTTCCAATAATCACATTTTCTCGTTTACCATTGATAATTTCCTTCAGTAAACTAAAATTATGAGTTATATTGGATTTAAATGGAATAACTCCACTTGAAATTTCCCAAAGAAGAATGCCAATACTATAAATATCTGAACTTTTATTAAGTTTATACGTTTCAAGATTTCCTAAATATTGAGAATCTATATATGGCATAAACTTGAATATATCAGAAATATTATGATGATATTGGAAAGCACTCAATTTAATGTCTCCTCGGTGAACAAATATATTTTCTGAATTCTATATATAACAATTAAAACAATAATTTAACGTACGTTAATATTAACATTATGATTCTGGTTAAAGACAAAAAGAATAATTAAGAATAAATTACCAAATTCATATGAATAATATCGTTTTCATGTAAGCATTTTATAGCACTGGTAAGTTGCTTTGCAAGACGTAACTTATCATTCCAATTGATTATATTCGAATTTCGTTTAAGGTATTGACGAAGAGTTCCATCATTAGCATATTCATGAACAAATATGGCTTTATTTGTGCTTTGTTCGATAATACTAACGAATTTCAAAATGTTTGCATGTAGTTCTATTTTCTGATATTGTTTTAACTGAAAATATATTTGTATAATTCGTTAGAATATAATAAATAATCATATAATATAATGTTTATTAGAAAACTTACATCGGCAATAAAATCTTTAAGCGTATATTTTTGAGAAAAGAAAATCTCATTTAAAATAAATATTTTATTGTATTTTTTAAAGAAAACTTTATAACTTCTACTACATAATGTCGAATCGACATTTTCAAGCTTTTTAAAAGAAGTATAATGAAAATATTTTAAATAGTTTTTGTTAAAAAAACTATTACAATCTTCTATGTTATTCGAACTATCTAATGTAGACATGCTTTCTGTATTGTGTACAGATAACGATGAGTTCAAAGTTTTTTTTTCCAATTTGGAATAAGGTTTAAAATGTGATTTTTAATGCACTAATAAGTGATGTATGTTATTACTTGTGCTTCGTTGTATGCATAATACGTACTTTCCAAATTTAGAGGTCTTTTAAAAGCCGGATAGTTTTTACTAACAACAAGATAAAGCGTCACGCCAATACTGTGAATCTTGTGAATTAAATAGGCTAATGTAATATAAAAATCAGGGACACAGTAAATTATCATTTTTATTTATGAGAATTTCAAATCCTGTAGCAAAATAGATCTCTTTCAGGGTCCCTGATAAAAGCATAATCGTTAGAGTGATCGGGTTTATCGATGTAAACCAAACACATATGGGAAGGGTAGTTTTAATTTTGAGAAAAATGCGATTAAATTTTGTGCTACTTAAAATTTTGCTGATTTAATTTTAGATGTGATTACTAATTGTGATTATATATATATATTGTTCATATATTTTATACATATATTGTTTTTAATAACTAAAATACAAAAATTGTGATATTAAAAAAAAGTTTATATTATACATTCGATAGTTAATTTGATTGGATAATCCTTGGTTGTTATCTATTTTTAGAATGTTTAATTTTCGAAGAACAATTTTTTTAAATCTAAAAATCTCGATAGTTTATTAAGTCAATATAGAAAAAAAACTCTATATATAAATAAGAATGAGTGCTTTCATTTGAATCACTTATTTGATCTATTAGGGGGTTTCAGACTTAAGGTTCAGGTTTCTGATTTCGAATTAAATTAGTGACGTATTTATTTTGAAATCAGAGATTTATAAATCCTATTTATTTTTATTTGCAAGCCTATTTATATAATAGATATAATATACATCATTAAAAAAAGTTTGTTTATTTTATCTTCGGACAATTCCTTTTTCATTTCTGATTTCGAAATTTCAAAACAAAAATAGGACTTTTCAAACTCCCATCTATTTTCAAAATAAGTTAACTCTGAAACCCCCTATTTAGTCAATTTGATTTGGGATTCAAACTTTAATTTGAGTTTGCGGAGCACTAGACAAGGTATTTGAAGTAAACTCTCAAGCATTTTAGCGTAAATTCTGTAATTGATAACGTACAAATTCCATGTAGTTTTCTTTTTGCATTAATAAAGTTATCTGACCGAGCAATAATACCGAAAAACGATAGAATTGAAGCATTTAAAATTACGACTTACTTTATATATTTATTTGTGCGAATTTGGCCAAGAAGCTTTTTTTTAACCAGTAAGGCCATCAAAAATTGAATTGAGTACCAAAATTTATTTATCATGTGTAACGAATTTACATAGGCTGCTTGAGCAAGTCTGAACTTGTGAGTGATCCACCGAAGCTTATCGTACTGATTCTGCGCTATGTAGCATGTTGCGCGTCTATCTCTTAATTCTAATAGTTTTGAGTTTTAGATAATTGATAATGTTTTGGGTAAATAAATATAATAAAAATGCCCAAAAAATACTTATGAAATAAGTTCAAAATATAACAATTTAGAGTTTCGTATGTGGACTTGGCTTTGGTTAAGTTTCAGGTTTCAGACGAAGTTTCGAACCCGAAACTTTCGGATTTGACAAAAAAAAAAATTTGGGACTAAGCTTAGTCTAGACCAGATCACAAAATATTCTAACGGTCTCTTAATATCGTAAAAACAATATTATCGTTAATTAAACTGAGGCTTATCAATAAATAATAACGGAGTTTTTTTAGCAAATGAAAGGGATACAGTATAATACAGTATTATACTTGTTAATTATACTATTACATTTAATTCAGTGTTGTCAATTTTACCGGCCAACCCAAATTTGTTTGGCCTTTTCAGCCAAAAAAGTGGCCAATTTGGCCAAAAAACATATGAATTTGGCCGAATTGGCTGTTTTTTTGGCCATTTTTGGGCCGGCCAAAAATGGTTGGCCAATAAAAAATTGCCAACACTGATTTAATTATATTGACATAATAAAATCATCATTTGATCTTTACAATTTAATATGATCTATAATAAATTCCAAAATATCACTCTATCGAACTCAAAATTTATTAAATACTTGATATTTAATACAGGTTAAAAGAATTGATATCAATATAAATGGAGAAATGCAACTAGCCTATAAGTGAAGATGTTATATAAACTTAATGAACAGTGTTTTATAATATTCAACGTACATTCTTATCAGTTATTAGTAATTATAATGTCATTTGGCATATTTTCTGTTCAAAAATTGAGAGGGTAGATTTAATTAATCAACAGTATCATGTATTTTCATTTCACATAATTTACTACCTATAAAAAAAGATTATTAGACAATGCTATAATATTAGTAACATAATTTGGTTAAAAAAATATAAAATTCTAATTACCTTGATATTTATAACTACTATTAAGAGAAATAAAGCTACTTTTATAATGTGAATCAATATAGGTTTGCGCATCTTCATTTTTTATATTTTGTAGCTTATTATCAGATTCAGATAATTCAGATAAAATAATTTCATTATTCTGCCATTCTGAAAAAATATAATAAATTTCTTTTGCTGTTGGTCGTTTTTCTGGCTCCGGGTTCCAACACTTTTTCATTAGATCTGCATAACATCTTGCTGTATTTTCGTAAATATGTGGCCTTAAACCTTTACATACTTGTAATTGAAATTGTAATTCGGATTTATTTTCAAAAGGAATAGGTTTGCCATATAAAATTTATTCCAAATGAATAAATATCAGATCCTTTAGTATATATTTGTTTTATCAAAACTTCAGGAGCAATGTATGGTAAAATTCCATAAACTCCGTCAGTTTTTGATTTTAATGCAATATTAGCTGTAATAGTAAGTCCTAAATCAGCAATATAAGCACTTTTAAAATTTTCTTGTAGTATATTTCCACTATGCAAATCCCGATGAATAAGATCATGAGAATGAATTATCGAAAGATCAGATGCAATACATTGTAGCAGATTTAATTTATCTATCCAATCCATTCGTGTTATAGTATGTAAATTTTTGCGCAAACAACCTTCAGAAGCATAATCCATGACAAGGATATAATCTTTAGAAATTTTATCTTTCGATATACCAAACCATTTTAGAAATGTTGAATTTTTAAGACCTATATCACAATATGCTTTTAACTTATTATTATTAAAAAGAAACATACATTCAAACTATTAATATAAATGATAAGTTACGAATAATATACTATAATAAAAATATTTAATAAAGATTACCTCACTTATAAATTTTTCATGACAATTGTTCGATTCATGAAGTAATTTAAATGCAACATTCCTGTCGAATTGTGGAGTTTCATCATGCATTCTAGCAAAATATACAGCTGCAAATCCGCCTTTACCTATTTCCTTAATATCTTCAAATTTATCATAAGAAATCCATGATATCTGATGCTTATTATCGATCAATATTTTTCTCAACTCATCTTCTATTCCAAAAATTTCTGAGCTATGCATCCATTCAATAGTAGCTAATGTTTATTTATAAAATTGCTAATTAGATAAATAAATTAAAAAACAATATAATTTATAATAAGCTAATTATGATAATACCTGGTGCCAAATCTTTTATTTTTCTAATCGGAGTTATAAACAGTATTTGAATTTATTAAATATATAAACGTATTTGATAGATTAATTCGGCAAATTTGTGGAATTTTGTTCTTAAAATAATCTCGAATGTTTTTAAAAACTAGACATTGGTTTGAAAATCTTAATAATTTGATCTTATAAGCAAAATCCTAAATCTATTATAAAAACAGATACAAATACGGAAATTTAATAAAAGTCAAATCCACAAATCTGCCGAATATTGTTGCGGTGAGCACTACTAAGCTACACCAGGATTGATTTTTTTAAAAAAAAAATCAGTTATAACTCGAAGCTTTGTTTCTAAAGTTGTATTATGTGCTCAAATAGTTTAATATATCTCTTTATCTCTTTTCTAATCCTATTTTACCTATAACTCTGATAATGAGTTTAATTACATTTGATCTTATGACTTGGTAGTGTTGCGCCACAACTTACCCAAATTAAATTTTAGACTCAAATTAAAATTACCTTTGATACCAATATTTGGCTTCATTCAAGTCTCTTGCTGTTCCAATTCCATTTCGATAACATTCTGCAACTTTTGACATCCCCATATCATTTCCCATTCCTACAGCTTTTTGATAATAAATAAATGCCTTATGTTCATCCTTCTCAACTCCAATTCCATATCGATAACAATTTCCAACCATATTTACTCCAACAGCGTTCCCCATCTCTGCAGATTTTTGATAATAAGTGAATGCCTTATTTTCGTCCTTTTCGACTCCAATTCCATAAAAATAACAATCTCCAACATAAAATGTTCCAACATAGTCACCCAATTTTGCAGATTTTTGAAAATAATTAAATGCTATACGTTCATCTTTTCCAACTCCAATACCTTTCCAATAACAATATCCAGCAGCGCATATCCCATAAGGATTACCCATATCTGCAGATTTTTGATAATAAATTAATGTCTTATGTTTATCCTTTTCAACCCATTTACCATAAAGATAACAAGTTGCAAGAATCAATTGAACATTAGGGTTGATTTGATCATATAAGCAATAATTAATAATATTAACTGGATTTTGCTTCTTATTTATTAGGAATTTTTCTAATGTATCAAAAATTAACCAGTGTCTTATGCATTTCCATTTCAATTCTTCATCAAACAGATTACACATTTCTTTAATAATTTCATCGAGAAAATCCTGTGAAAAATCTTGCGACTTATTTTCTAAATGCAATTGATTAATATTATCGGCTATTTGAGTAATTTCTGATGAACTGTTGATCTTTTCAGGTTGCTCTACAAGAAAATTGTTGTAAGTTGACATTTTTGTTGCCAAAATCTGTTAAATATGAAAGTATGAAAGTTATTGAAGATAAATAGTATATTGCGCAACTTTTACTTTAAGTTATTTGGAAGAGGGAGTTATACTTATGTTAGATAGCTATGAAGAGTAAAAGGTATGAAAAAATTGAGATCAAGGTAAGTTATACGGGATTTTTGCAGTATTTTGCCGTATAGGTGATACTTTGGCAAACTTTACAAAAATACCTAAAAATGCAAAAATTTCACTATATTTGAACTTATATATTGAAACACTGGAAAAAATGGTCCGCAGAACAGCAAAAACCAACAAAACCAGTCAACCTATAAAAGAGCTCTCGGATTTAGCGAGTAGATAATTCAAGGCTCGGTTGTCAATACTTAGTGGAATTTACGATAAGCTCGTGAGCAAGATGATTAGATAAGCGAAGATAATTTTGCGTATAAAATTAGTAA